TGTATACACGTGCAAAACTCCGCCTCTGAAAGGCAATATGCACGATGGCTGGGGCGGGCGGTTGTTGTCAACCTTACTGGCGTAAGGGCTGAGTGAGGTGTGGCCAAACGCCTCTCGCAGCCCTTCCAGCAGTGACGTTGGTAGCAACCGCCCGCCCCAGCCACCATGCCCCACAATGCTTTACCCACTGAATCTGAACTTTGCTTTTCGACTTCTGTTCTCGCGCTCAAGCTACTACTTCAGGTTACATGACTCGGATATTACTATATTACCGTTCAGGTGGCGGCCTGGTCAATACACAAGTACATCCAGTCACTCCATGGTAACGATGTGGGATCTACTCCAAAGCTGCCAATGTTCTACACCCCGATTGATGAGGTAGAAGACGTCGCATACACTCCTTATCCCTGAGACGGAGTAGGCGTGGCTTTCGAACATATAGGAACGGGTTACTCGTGGGATATTTCACTTTGAGACAACTGCCATCTTGTTCTGAGTTGGATAAAGACATGACCATAGTTGTCTCGAAATGAAAATATTTCACCAGAAGCACAACCACAGGAGACGTTTAGGTGTCGTACGCAGCCACGCCTACCCCATCTCAGAGATTTCGAGAATACTCATTAAGCATACTTCTAATCTTTCTGCTCAGGTTGATATATCAGTGGAGATGTGTGGAGTAAAATTTGAAAATCCATTTGGCCTAGCGTCAGCTCCTCCGACAACATCAGGGCCAATGTGTCGCCGTGCATTCGAACAAGGCTGGGGCTTTATACTGACGAAAACATACGGTCTGGACAAGGTACTAAATGCTCGAGATAGATGTTCAATTCCCATTTTGTAAGAAAATTCCTAGTTATTTCCATGCGAGGCTGGAATAAGCAACTTTAACCATTAACTAAAAATCGATAACTATGTTCACTGAAACAAGTCGCTTGAAGCTTCCTACCATAGTCTGATCGTTACAGGATCTCGTCACTAATGTTTCACCTCGAATTGTGCGAGGATCAACTAGCGGACCTATTTACGGTCCTAATCAGGTCAGTTTTGGCTAAAAGCTGTCATTAAGTATTTTTATCCACCGCAATCTAAGCTCAGTACAAACCGCAAC